GATTCCCCGCTAAGCCTTACATGAGAGAGCTCAGAGCTGCTGGTCTGCCAGCCATTTCTCTCTCTGCTCTGTTTTTATTAAACTCAAATAAGTTCAAATATGCATGACAGGCCAGGCGCGGTGGCTCACGCCTGTAATCCCAGCACTTTGGGAGGCCAAGGCGGGTGAATCGCGAGCTCAGGAGTTCGAGACTAGCCTGACCAACATGGTAAAACTTGGTCTCTACTAAAAATACAAAATTTAGCCGGATATGGTGGTGCGCGCCTGTAATCCCAGCCACTCAGGAGGCTGAGGCAAGAGAATCGATTGAACCCGGAGGCGGAGGTTGCAGTGAGTTGAGATCCCGCCAGTGCTCTCCAGCCTGGGTGACAGAGCGAGAGTCCGTGTCTCTCTCTCTCTCTCTGTATATATATATAATAAAATATAAATATATATATGCAGGATAATGGCATATCTAATTCATCTGCTTTTATGGCCCAGGATGAATGTTTAAATGGAACCCGGAAATGAAACTTCTCGTTTTTCATCAGCTTCTAGTCCCAAGCTGATGGCGCCCCTAGAGCCTCCGCAAGTGGGTCTGGCGCCATCTGGTGGTGGGATGCGCTGATGCTTTGCTGCCTGATGGACAGAAAACACAGTGCGTAATGAAGAAAACCTGTTGACTGAAATACGCGCAGAGACTTAAACAAAGGACCGGTGACATTTGCAGCACATGACTCAGTAGCCCAAAAGTTCAAATTTGTTATTAAATATGCAAATTTGTGAAAGTGACAGAATCTTTGGGACCATGCAAAGTGAAGATTGATAGGTGTGTGCACTTTAGGCATGAGGCATGTTCAGTTTGTAACTTTGTAGTGAGATGCTTGTTCTTAGTATGGAATCCAGATGTTGTCTGCTGGTAATTTATGCTCCTGTGCAAAACGTAGGCAAATTGATTAATTTTTATCAATCTCATTTCATCTTGTTCTCATCTGTAAAAGATCATGTCTAAGGACCCTTACACGCTTTAAAAACTTTCAAGGAACCCCAAACATTGCAATATTCTGATTTCCTCTAGTGATTCTATGTGCTTCACATCCATGCTTTCTTCCATCCTCCAAGAGTTTAATGTTATCAGGAGATGTGGAGGTAATACTAAGAATTGTCATTTATTGGATGCTGCTATGTTTTTTATACTATCTTAGGTAGTTTAACATTTTAAAAATTCTGGCTTACAAAAGTCTGTAACATAAGTATCACTGGGCTCATTTTACAGATAAGGCATGTAAAGCTTACCGCACTCTGCTTTCCATGTTTACAAACTAAAAGATAAATGAGAAACAAGGAAGAAATATGCTAATTGTCTTTATAATTCAGCACAACACCGTTTACAGTGCATTTACAGCTCAGTGTAATTTGCCACTTTGCAACAATACAAAATGTCAAGTATCCAAGCCACATCATCGCTCTATCTTCACATACTGATAAAGCTGCTGCCATACCGCAAGTGTAGGAAGAGTTTTAAAAATGCATTTTCCAGGGTGCCAGGGGGAAACAAATATTTGCCAAGACCAGAGCTGGTATTTCACAAATCTCTTTTCTGTGAGCTGAGGAGTGAGGAGAGGTGGAGTGACAAGCCATCAAGCGGAATTACCATGTCCCAGATACTGATGCAAGGATGGCGAGTGGCAGAGGACTATTGGCAGGTGTCTCGGGCATGGCACCAGAGCAGCACTCCGTTTCTGTTGACCAGTTTGTTTGGGTCTCCCTTTTAAAAGTCGGTCATCCTTTCCCAAAGAGTGCTCTGTAAGGTGTTCGTACATTTTATATGGAAAATAAAGCTTTTGAATGAAATATTATGAGAAACAAGTGGCTGAATACAGTTAAATGGGTTTCTTTGCTCTAGTATAGGATTTCTTGAAACCTTTCATGTGTCAGTGTATATTTTTAACATAATCTATAAATTAAATGTATTTTATTATATAAATTAAATACAGGTGATAGGGTTTGGCTGTGTCCCCACCCAAATCTCATCTTGAATTGTAGTTCTCATAATCCCCATGTGAGTTGGGAGGGACCTGGTGGGAGGTAATTGAATCATGGTGGTGGTTAACCCCGTGCTATTCTCATGATAGTGAGTTCTCACGAGATCTGATGGTTTTATAAGAGGTTTTCCTCTTCTCTCAGCTTACATTCTTCTCCTTGCTGCTGCCATGTGAAGAAGGACATGTTTGCTTCCCCTTCCACCATAATTGTAAGTTTCCTGAGGCCTCCCTAGCCATGTAGAACTGTGAGTCAATGAAACCTCTTTCCTTTATCAATTACCCAGTCTCAGGTATGTCTTTATTAGTAGTGTGAGAATGGACTAATCCAATAGGTCAAGGTTAAATAGTTCAAATAACCCCAATAGCTGGGGAGCTGGGGATAAGGCAGAAAATGTAACCTTTCTCCCAGAGCTAGGAATCCTTCAACCCAACTACTTTAGCAGACTTGTGTGTGTGTAAATTTCCAAAAACTACCCTAGTAGGATCACCTCGCTTATGTGGCATAAGTGCATTAAATCTGATGAATGTTGAAACAATGCTCTGTAGACGTCTAACAGCAACCCTGGTCCACACTTACATAGGGCAACAATGAACCCAGTAACAGCTTCTCTTTTGAGGAGGGCTTGTGCTCTCTAGGTGGTACACCTTCCTGCCGTTGCACCCTTAGGTCACCCACCTGGCTCCTCGAGACATTGGGGTTTGTTTCCAATGGTTGAAATGAATGATCAAACCCACACTGACTTGATATCCAGACATACTTTCCTATATCATAGATATTAGTCATCAACATTTTAGGGCATAAATTATGTTTCAGAAGTCTATTGAGAATTCCTACATTGCTAAACACTTGGGAATATCCCAGACCCTGATGCATTGCATCTTACCATTTGCTTTGTTTTGTTTTTTGTTTTTTGAGACGGAGTCTCACCTCGTCACCCAGGCTGGAGTGCAGTGGCGCGATCTCATCTCACTGCAACCTCTGCCTCCTGGATTCAAACAATCCTCCTGTCCCAGCCTCCCGAGCAGCGCCCGCCATCACACTGGCTAATTTTTAGTAGAGATGGGGTTTCACCATCTTGGCCAGGCTTATCTTGAACTCCTGACCTCGTGATCTACCCGCCTCGGCCTCCCAAAATTCTGGGATTGCAGGCATGAGCTACTGCCCCCAGCCACATCTTACCATTTTAATAGCAACATCTTTACTTTGTGCCTGGAACTTTACATGCAGGAACTTGATGAATCCTCCCGGCAGCCCTATAAAGGTAGGGGCATGTAACATCTTTGGTGTATAGAAGATGAACTGAGTCAGAGAGTAGTTAAGCAACTTTCATCCCTACACAACTTCCAGAATCTCTTAGTGACTCCTACTGTTTCCCCTAGTTAGCCTTTGATAGTCTCCATGAGATCTGCTGTCAGAACTTCATCTGATCCTGATGCAGCCTTGCTGACCTATGGAATTTCCCCTCCTTTTCCAGGGCTTACATCTCATTAGGACCCATGGGTCATTCCTCTGAGCATGACACACTGGGGCAAGTGTCTGTGTCAAACTCTGTTAGAAGTTTCTATATTAAGATATAAAGAGAAAGAAGCAAAAAGCAAACTTTTATGTACACTCTGACTTCAGTTATGGGAAATGTGTGGAAAAGAAGGCGGTAAGGAAACACAGTGATGACATTGCATTAGAGTTGTAGGACAATGGATGTTTTTCTTCTATTTTCTTAATTTTATGAAATACGGTATATCAGTTATTAAATGAGAAAAGTTTACCTTCTTACTAATTTAAATATTTCTTTCCAAAAACTGAAATACATCTATCAACTCAGATGGTTACCAGGCAATATCACAAAATTTGCATTTTTTTTTTGTTTTTGAGATGGAGTCTTGATCTGTTTGCCCAGGCTGGAGTGCAGTGGTGCAATCTCCGCTCACTGCAAGGTTCACCTCCCGGGTTCACACCATTCTCCTGCCTCAGCCTCCCAAGTAGCTGGGACTACAGGTGTGTGCCACCACACCTGGCTAATTTTTTGTATTTTTAGTAGAGATAGGAGTTCACTGTCTTAGCTAGGATGGTCTCGATCTCCTGACCTTGTGATCCGCCCATCTCGGCCTCCCAAAGTGCTGGGATTACAGGCATGAACCACCGTGCCCGGCCAATATGCAATATTCTTTAAAATAGTTACCATTTATCAATTGCTTAATAATTGTATCTTACATATGTAACCTTGAACCCCTGTAAGAACTGACCAAAGCAGCTATTATTATTATTATTATTATTATTATTATTGAGATGGAGTCTCACTCTGTCGCCCAGGCTGGAGTGCAATGGCACGATCTTGGTTCATGGCAAATTCCGCCTCCTGGGTTCAAGTGATTCTTTTGCCTCAGCCTCCTGAGTAGCTGGGACTACAGGTGCAAGCCATCATGCCTGGCTAATTTTTGTATTTTTGGTATAGATAGGTTTCACCATATTGGCCAGGGTGGTCTGGAAGTCCTGACCTTGTGCTCTGCCCTCCTCAGCCTCCCAAAGTGTTGGAATTACAGGCATAAGCCACTGCACCTGGCCCAAAGCAGCTATTATTATACACTTTTTGAAGCTGAGGAAACCAAGGCCTAGAGAAGGGCAGTGATTTTTTCCAAGAACACATTGCTGGATTTGCATGGCCAGGCTCATGTTACTTCAAAGTGATCATCATCACCTCATCATTCACCTGGTAGAAACTTATTCTTTCCGTTTTCAGGGTACGCAGAAATTTTGTTACTGTATCAAGATCACAGGAAGAGTGTTTGAGACATCACCAGAATCTACAGCCTCTGATGGTGCTCCTGGGTTCAGCTTCTAGCATTACAGGCATGCTAGCTTGTCTCCAAGATGGCACCCATGAGCCCTAAATTCCTGGATTGATGCTCTTGCCTAGTCCTCTATTGTGTCATATCAGGATTGTTCCAAGTAACCAATAGAACTCAGCAGAGTTGATGGCATGTCACAAAGTTAGGTCATAAAGGACATCATGGTTTCCATGTTGCTGGCTTCCCCTTGGATCATTTTCTCAGGAGGAAACCAACTGTGTGTTGTGAGAAGATTTAAGCCATCCAGGGAGAGGTCCACATGGTAAGGAATGGAGGCCACCAACTGACAACCATGCTGGTGAGGGATTTTTAGAGGCAGACCCTCCAGCCCCAATCAGGCCTTCAGATTACTGCATCTCACATAGATTACAACGTTGTGAAATGACACTGAGTCAGACTCATCCAGCAAAACCACTGAACTCCTGACCCACAGACACTGAGATAAATGTTGTTTTAAATCACAGTTTTGGGGGTAATTAGTCACACAGTGATAGATAATTGATAGACATTGCAGATAACTTGTCTCTTTAGTCCGCAAGACTTTAGACAGAGAGGAACTCTACTTGAAGATCTATTCTTAAAGAACTACACCTGGTCAGGCATGGTGGCTTATGCCTGTAATCCCAACATTTTGATAGGCCAAGGCAAGATGATTGCTTGAGCCCAAAAGTTTGAGAACAGCCTGAGAAACATGGTGAAGCCCCATCACCACAAAAAACTTTCAAAAAATTAGCCAGCCATTATGGTGTGTGCCTGTCATCCCAGCTACTTGGGAGGCTGAAGCAGGAGGATTGCTTGAGTCCAGGGGTCAAGGCGTCAAGGCTACAAGTGAGCTGAGATTGCACCACTGCACTCCAGACTGGGCGACAGAGTGAGACTCTGTCTCAATTTAAAAAAAAAAAAGAACTACACCTGAGAAGACTTCTCTGTATTGGGATCTGATTTAAATAATTACATCCTGGACTTCAAACCTAGATATCCTGTACAAGTTTGAGAGTTTTGGGAGGAGTTGAGAGGAATGAGAGTATTTTACATGTGGGAGAAATAGAAATAATTTGTGGCCAGATGGTGGACTGTGATGATTTAAAATATAGCCACTGATTATTTAATATTCCTTTCAAAAGATGGAACAAAATTCCCCTCCACCTGAATGTGGGCTGGAGTTAGTGACTCGTTTGTGGTCATAGAATGTAGAAGTGACTGTGTGTGATGTCAGAGACTAGGTCATGAAAGTGATGGTGTCTTCCGGCTTGCTCTTACTCTTGGATGATCTGCTCTGGGGATAGTTGTGAGTAGGCCTGCAGCCCACAGCCATGTGAGTGAGCCTTTTGAAGAGTGGACCTTCCAGGCCCCGTCAAGCCTTCAGGTGACTGCAGCCCCAGCCAACATCTTGGGAGACCCTGAGTCAAAACCCCCACTAAGTCACTTCCAGATCCCTAAGTCTCAGAAACTGTGAAGAAAAAAAAATGAATGTGGTTTTAAGCCCTAAGTTTGGGGCATAGTTTCTTATGTAGCAATAGATAATATGTCTGATATGGTTTAGCTGTGTCCCCACCCAAATCTCACCTTGAATGGTAGCTCCCATAATTCCTTCATGTTGAGGGAGGGACCCGGTGGGAGATAATTGAATCATAGGGTGGTTTCCCCCATACTGTTCTCATGGTAGTGAATGGTAGTGAATCAGTCTCACAAGATCTGATGGTTTTATCAGGGGAAACCCCTTTTGCTTGGTTCTCATTCTCTTCTCTTGTTTGCTGCCATGTGAGACGTGCCTTTCACCTTCCACCATGATTGTGAGGCCTCCCCAGCCATATAGAATGGTGAATCCATTAAACCTCTTTTTTTTTTTTTTTTTTTTGGTAAATGGTCATGTCTTGGATATGCTTTTATCAGCAGCATGAAAATGGACTAATACAATGTTATTTGCTGAAAATTTGCCTTATAATATTTTCATATTTGGATGAGAAAAAAAGATTTTGGATAAATCGAAGCAAACTCTTTTCATCCTAAGATAACAGAAACAGAGTAATTTGCCTCTATTCTTGCTCCTATTTTGTCCAATATAAGCCCAGAAATGACTTTTGTCTTTATTGTCTAATTTTTTAATTGTAGAAATGTATTCAATCACTATATTTAGTTCAGAAAACTTTGCTGTAAACAGAACATTCACAATTTTTTTAAATATATATTTTCTGAATAGCTACTTTATAATGTACACTGGGCATCTAGAGGCTATAAAGATGAATGAGGTGCAGTTATTGTCCTCATGGAATTTAACCTACTCATGGACTATTAAATAATAAAAAAGCAATAATATATATTAAAGTACCAAATGCCATATATCCATATATTCTAAATGGTCTATTATCCTTTAACTCCTGTCTTTTCAACTTAGCCTTTGCAACTGAAATCTTTCCTAAATTTTAAGTACATTTTATTTTAAAAAATCTTTTAGAGATGGAGTCTCACTATGTCACCCAGACTGGTCTTGAACTCTTTGCCTCAAGCAATCCTCCAGCCTCAGCCTTTCAAAGTCCTGGGATTACAGGTGTGAGTCACCGCACCCAGCCAATTCATTTAAAGCTGAATATACCACCAGGGGTGGTGGTGTATACCTATAGTCCCAGCTACTCCAGCTACTCAGAAGGCTGTGGCAGGAGAAGCCCTTGAGCCTAGGAGTTCTGGACTGCATTACAGCCTGGGAGACAGAGCAAGACCCCATCTCTTAAATATATATATAAAAAAATACAAAGTAAAAAACTCACATATCAAAGTGTGTACTCCTGAATTCACACAGTGACACACCCATGTATCCACACAGTGACCCACCCCTGTATCCACAATTAGATTTGGGAGCAGAACATTATCCAGCCCGTATCCTGAGGAGCTGCTATTTTGCCTTCCACCGCCATACAAAAATGTTGCCAGTTTTTGAAATTTGTAAATGGAATGATATATGTGATTTTTGGTTTGGATTCCTTCACTTAAGTTATGCTTGTGAGATTTACTTTTGCTGTTCAGGGTAGCAGTAAATTCCCATAGCTCTATTACATTAAATTATATGAATACACTTGTATAAATACACTTGTCCGTTCTACTGTTGATGGATAATTCGATGATTTCCAGGTTGGGGCTATAATGAAAAGTACTGCTAGGAACATACACGTACATATCTTTTGGTAACATAGAACTCTTTTTATCTGGTCTACACTGGCAGTGGGAATCGCTGGGTCATAGTGTACTGTCTTAGATTGCACTTTTAGCCCAGCTCTGTCTCCCTCTCTATGTCCTTGCTGTCTGGCTTTTCAGTATCTTCTATTAGTGGAGTTTCAAGTTTTTCCACATCTTGTTCCACATCTGCAACATCATTTGATATCATAACTCTTTTTTTCATTTGAGATGTTCTTGAGTGTTTTATTATTTATTTTTTACCTAGGTTTTCTCCTGTGCTTGATAAGTCTGAAGAAATCAGAGAGACAGAGACCGTGTAAAATATAAACTGCTCCTGAGTCTGAATAGGATGCATTACAAGATGTAACAACTTGTTTGACAGACCCTTGTTCTCCCTGAATAACCAGATTTGTCCGAATTCCTACCTGGTTACCAACTCGTTAGTTACCAGTTGTTTGTTGGTTGACTAGTTAGTATCAACTCAGCATCGGTCCGTTCTGTATGGATGTATATGTATATATATAAGACATATATTTAAATATATATAAGGATGTATATTTAAGCGTGCTGATGGCTGGGTGTGATGGCTCACACCTGTAATCCCAGCAAATTGGGAGGCCAAGTTGGGAGGATCGCTTGAAGCCAGGAGTTTGAAACCAGCCTCAGCGACATAATGAGACCTCCTGTCTACAAACAAACAAATAGCTGGGTGTAGTGGCACACACATATAGTCCCAGCTACTCAGGAGGCTGAGGCAGGAGGATCGCTTGAGCCCGGGAGACTGAGGTTACAGTGAGCTATGATTGCATCATTGCACTCCGGCCTGGGCAATACAGCAAGACCCTGTCTCTGAAAATAAAATAATAATAATAATAAATTGTCCTGGGCATATGAGGATTTTGATTCAGCATCCGGCTTTCATTCTCCAGAAGAGGGCAGCCTCGTTCCACGTTTTGTCTGTAGCCTCCCTGCAGACACCTCCTCCCTCCTCTGTTTGTTAAAGGGCAGGCTTTATTTGTTAAGCGCATGACAGCCTCCTGGGCAGCCAGGTGGGAAGTTGGGAGGTATTTTTTCTCTTTGTTCTTTCTGGCTCTCTAACCAGATTCTAGTTAATTCCACCTGAGGTCTGGATGTGTCCTAGTTTCATTTCTAGACCTGCTGTCCCAGCTCCCTACTGTGTCTCCCAACCTCCTGCTAAAGACCCCTCAAATCTCAGAGCCTCCCCTCCCCTCCCTCACCTTCTCTCTTTTCCAGAGGAATGTTTCCAAAGCACGTGCTCAAAAACGTTCCAAGGCTGTCTAGCATTTGAAGAAATAAATATGTGTGATTAGGTTAAAGTCTAAATCCCCCGGTGGCATTCTTGGCCCCTAAGAATCAAACTGCAATCCACTTCTCCACTTTCCTCTACTTGTACTCCCCTCAAAAAACCCACATTTCCGTGGAGTAAGCAGAACTAGGGTTTGAACAACTCTAGGTCCGAGTCCAAATGCAAAGCTCAATGTCTTTACTTTCCATCCATATGACCGCGGCCAGGAACTTAACCTCTATGAACCCTGGTTTTCATATCACTAGATGGGGCTCAGTGGTACCTGCCCCTCATGGTTGGTGTAACAAATAAATGTTGCTACGAAGGTAAGAGTTCCTGGCATAAAGTGACCACATGATAAATGGTACTGTCATTGTCATCATCATCAATTTACTTAATTTACTCTGGGCTTCGCTTCTCCTCTGCCATTGTCCAAATTCCCTGCTCTCCTGCCCTACTGAGATTTCATCTTGTGAGGTCCAGCCTTGTGTCACCTTCTTTAGATAACCCTCTTCCTCCCCCAGCATCCCAGCGTTCACTGCTACTTCTGAGCACCCTCATTCAGAGTCAGGTAAAAATTCGTTCACCCAGGTTTACTGGGCACCCCCAACAGCGCCAGCACTATGCAGGTACTACAGTGAAAGAGGCAGACAAGTCCCTGCCATGGTGACAGGTATACTCTCACAGAGAAATATGCTTAAATAAATACATAAATAAATATGCGTCATGAGTTTCAAAAGGAAATTCACGTAACTCCGGGACCACAGAGCAGGAAAATAGCTTAGTGTCTCTTCTGTATCAGGGGCAGGGGCCCCAAAGGCTTCCCTCGGAAAGGCACGTCGAAGCTGAGATGGAAGCGTGATTAAGTCAGGCCAACTGAGGAGTGGAATCACATTCTAGAAAGAGAGAACTGTGCCCCTCTTATCTGTCCTGCCAATTTTAAATTCTCCAAGATCAGACACTGAACTTTTTTCCCATAAAATCTCCAGCAGAGCCTGGAAAGGCCCTTGCCTATAGGAATTCGTCAGAAATTGATGAACAAAAAAATGCAAAGAAATGGCAGCTTTTAAAATTGAAGTCTTTAAAACGATAGGGAAACAAGCTCTTTCCGTTCCTGTGTTTTCTGTCCCTTTCTCGGGGTGGTTACCTATTTTGAGTCCCAAGATGATATGGTAATGAAAAACTCTAGTTCTTCACAGACCACCTCTTCTGAGGTCCGAGAGCTCACAAGATGGCTTGGGTGAGAGTTGCTTCAGGACAGCTTCTTACCCCCGAAGCAGGAGAATTCTACCCATGTGGGGTGTGCAGGTCACTTTATCCATCACACCGAAGTTCCTTCCTTAGCCAAAGAAAGGAGTATAGGGTTGAGTCAGACACCCTAACAATCAACTTCTCCTGGACTCATCTTATTTCCTGGAACTTTGGAGCTCCACTACATTTGTTTTAATGAGAAGTTTTTAGTTGCCTCTGGGGTGGGGACAGTGCTCCCCCACGCAGCAAGAACCAGGCCTGTGGAAGTGGCCCCCCCATGCAGTTTGAAGGTGGCAGCTCCACTCACTCTATGCCAAGCATGGACACAGGAATCGTCGCGAAGCTTCCCGGGCAGGCAGGCCAGGGCTCAGGCTCAGCGCGACATCCGGGGCTATTCCAAGTCAGGTTTCTTCCACTCCTGGGCAGCATCTTGGGGGCTCAAGTTCACGGCTGCGAACAGCTGCTGGCGAGTGGGGCTGTTCCCACCCTCCCCTCAATGCAGAGTCTCCGTGGGTAAACCCTTTGAGGGCCCTGGCTTCTCAAAGATGGGTGGGGTTCACTTCAAAGTGGCTGTGAGTTCTCTTCTGCAGCAAGAGAGCTCTAACAGAGGCCTGCCTACCCCGATTTTTCAGGGTGGGTGTTGGGAAGGAAGGGGTATCTCTATCTCAACTTACCACGCCCTTCATTTTCAGTTATTGTGAGCTGTTTCATTGCAAGAGAAAGAAAAACTTGTAACTGATCGTCAAATATCATTCACTGGTGGTTTTCGTTTTTACACTTGGACGATTAACCCCGAGGACCAAGTCCACATGATTAGTGTTCATCAGTATTCAAACAAACATCTAGCAAATAAATAAAAGCGTATTCTTCACACCTGAGGTCTCAGAGAAGGTGGAGAGAGGGCACTTGGTCCTAAGGGCCTGAGAGGAGAGGTTATCTCCTAAGAGGAGACTTACGATGCAGGAAGTCAATGAAGCTGGGACATGACCCTCTATTGCCAGCTGATCCCAGGAGCTGAGTTCCATCAGCCAGGGCCGGGGCTCTTCCTCCCCACAAGGCTGAAGGCAGGCGGGCAGTCGGTGGTGGGCGGGAGAGCTCCTCTGTTGCTCATTTAGAGAAGGTCCTTTAAAACGGCAAATGATTGTTTGTTTCTGGAGGTCAGGGCAGGGGGTGACATGGAGGATAAAAATACTGTGGTCTCTCAATATCCGTGGGCAGTTTGTTCCAAGATGCCCTCAGATACCAAATCCATGGATGCTCAAGTCCCTGATATAGAAATGATGCATAGCATTTGCATATTACTGACACACATCCTCCCTTAGACATTAAATCATCTTCAGGTTCCTTATAATACATCACACAGTATAAACAGTTGGTATACTCTATTGTTTAAGGAATAATAACAAGAGAAAATGTTCGTACGTGTTAGCACAGACACAATCTCCTTTTTTCAAATATTGCTTGAATCTACAGAGGTGGAACCCAGGGATCTGGAGGGATGACTGTGCTAGGTAGAAAAGTGACTGGAGCTGGAATGGCCTTGGTCAACTATCCCCCTTAACCAAAAATTGGTGGAGACACATAAGGGAAAACTTGTGGCTGATGCAGAATGGTTTTTTAACTGCTAAATTGTAAAGGTGTAAAACGAGTAGTGCTGTAAAATACCCTAAATGCAAAGGGCTGTAGATGGTGAAAGAGGAGAAGACCAATGTGGAACTGTGGGATCAGGGGCATTTCTTTGAAGATGGGACCTGAGTGGGCTGCAGTGTGACAAAGATCTGGATGGATGCATAGGACAACTGTCTGGAGGAATGCAAACGCAGGTGTGTGTGGAGGAATGCAGAAAGAAGCATATGGATCTGGTTCTTGGCTTTGGAAGTCACTCCTTCTCGGAGTCAGTGGCTCTGAAGGTTTCTGGTATCCCAAGCATCTGCTGCTTTTCCTTGCACACACGTATACTTGCATGGGGATTATCTTCTATGCCCTGCATCTGGGATGGGGTGGGGAGTGAAGTGTACTGACGTTGACAGTTTCCTTCTGATTTTACCCTTTGAGAAAACTGTAAAACCCACTATACATCTGTTAGATATATAATTTTAAAGCTGAATTTATGCTTAGATATTTCAAAAATAGAAAAGGAGCACAAAGATGGAAGAAGGGATGGCTTCTAAAGACAATAACTAGCAATGTTTTTAAACTGGGAGGTTTCTGGCAGAGTACAAAGCACAGGACTGAGGTCTCACTGATTCTTGCCAAAGGTCAGCACAGAGTGAATTTCATTTGTCGTGATTTTTGTCTTTCAAGCAGCCACCTGAGGGCCAAACTGATGCTCAGGGAGATGGAGTAGCTTCGTCCATCACAGGTGAGGAGCCGTCAAGCTGCGCCATGTCAGGGCACCATCTGCTGCAAGATTGCATCCCTCTGAGTGGCATGAGAGCCACAGCAGGGCCGGCACAAATCCTCCCTCGTTTCACACCCCCATGCTGGTAGTGAGCTGACAAGCTGCAGATGGAGCAGGTCAGGAAAGAGAACAAATTTGCCTACCCCCCAAGCAACATACAGAAATGACATCCTTTCTAGATTAGGATCACATTTGCACGCATCCACTTTTGGATAGTCTAATACATCTTTATTAATCTCCAAATATGTCTTTTTGGTCAATAACATTATTTTAATAACCATTAAAGATAATCTAGTATTAAATGGTTAATTTTGCTTCCCTTAGATAAAGATGACAGAATTCAAATGCGAACTCGCCCCGTCCGGTTGAAGTGTAGTGAGAGCTGACTGTGTGAACTGAATAATGCTTGTGCTGTGCAGAATGGAGAAGAAAAGCAAAGTTTTGTTCACCTGGGAACAGTTTTTTAAAAATACATTGATACCTAACTTAAATAATTGAATCCATATCATAAACATACAAATTACACCATTTAAAATATACTTACTACAAAAAGATCCCAAACATTTTTGGTTAATGCAAATAAAATTTCTTCACATTATTTTAAGAGTCAAAATATTTTACATCAATTTGTGCTTTTAAAACTATTGCTAGCTTCCCCTGGGAAAAGCCAAAATAACTGTATATTGTAGAAAAAAGTTTTTGCACTTTTGACCCAAATACACATATCAACACAAGAAGAGGCACAATAATATCTAATAATTGTTTTACATTTCCCTGAAACAGACAAACGAACAAAACCTAGTTATTCAATGAAATGCATTTCTATGGTAATTGCTAATTTGATCTTTTCACACGTGCACAAAAGAACTACTTTTTCTTGGTCACTAACGACAACAAACCCTAGATGTCTAGGAATATATATATATGTTATATATATATTTATATACATACATATTTAAGAGAGCATATGAAGAAAATAGGACAGTTTGCACATACATATTCAAAGCCTCTCAGAAATTCCACTTAGGTCCACATTAGTGAGCCTTAATGTATTGCCAGCGTTCTGTGTAAATAACCAGAGAAGTAAAACAAACTTTAGTAGTGGAGTCCCTCCTTAAACATTAATAGAAAATGTAGTTAGAAGTGGTATGATTAGCTCATAAGAGGTCAGAAGTTCAAGACCATCCTGGCCAATATGTTGAAAGCTCATCTTTACTTAAAAAAAAACACAAAAATTAGCCAGGAGTAGTGGCATGTTCCTTTAATCCCAGCTATTCAGGAGGCCAAGGCACGAGAACTGCTTGAACCTGGGAGACAGAGGTTGCAGTGAGCAAAGATTGCACTACTGCACGCCAGCCTGGGCAACAGAGACACGGTAAAAAAAAAAAAAAAAAAAAAAAAAAAAAAAAAAAA